TATTTGGGGAAAGAGGCTCCAGGCAGAGGGAAATGTAAGTACAAAAGCCTTGGGGAAGGAACATGACTGCTGTGTCCTAAAGCAGTAAAGTAGCCACGGTGATTAGAGCAGAGTAAGGCAGAGAATACAAGATGAAGTCAGAGAGATAATTAGGATGAGATCATGTGGGCTTTGCAAGTCATTTTAACGATATAGGCTGGGATGTTAAGTGGTTAGAGGGTTTTGAACAGAGGGATGACATGATTTGAATTGTATTTTAACATTATAACTGTGGATAACTACAGCCAGTAAGGAGAGAAGTAGGAAAACCAGTTAGAAAGTTACTGCAATGATCCAAGTAAGATGGGGACCAGGATAATATTGAGAGAGTACAAAATGTCCAATTCTAAATATATTTCCAAGATAGAGCCAAAAGGATTTCCTAGCAGTCTGTTCATAGAGTGTCAAAGAAAGAGATGAATCAATTATTATTTTAAAAGTTTGGGCCTAAGCAATTGGAAAGATGGAGTTGCCAGTTACTGAGATGGGGAAGATGACAGAAGAAACAGATTCAGCAAGGCATGAGGTGATGCTGATTAAGAATCCAGTTCAGGACGTGCTAAATTTAAGGTGTCTATTAGTGGAGCTGCTATTTAGGCAACTGGATATACATGTTTGCAGTTCATGGGAAAGTTTCGAGCTAGAATTTGAGAGTCACCCCCATACAGATATTTAAAGCCATGAGGCTAGGTGAGATCAGAAAAGGAAGAGTGTACAGATAGAAATGAGAAGAGTTCCAGACCTGGAGAGACTGAAGAGATGAGGAAATAGTCTGAGAAGGAGTGACCTAAATAGTCTGAGAAGGAGTGACGCGTAAGGTAAAAGGAAAAAAAGAGTATGATATCCTGAACTCCAAGATCAGTGTTCAAGGAAGGAGTGATGAACTATCAACTACTAGTGATAGGTCAAATAAGATAAAAACAGAGAATTGACAATTTACTTGGCAATATGGTTAAGGGACTGTATTTTCCAAAAATAGTCCGCAATATTTCAGGTTGTCACTCCCCAACTAGAGGCAGAGCCTCTTTACCCTCCCCCTTGAACCTGAGTATGCCTTTCTGACTACCTATGTGAATAGAATACAATGAAAGTGATGTCACATGACTTCCAAGACTAAGTCATAAAAGGCTTACATCTGTCTGTCTCTCTCAGAATACTCACACTTGCAACCCAGCCATGCTATAAGGAAGCCCAAACTAGCACAAATAAAGGGACCACTTGGAGAAGCCCACACTGAAACACTGTGGTTCCCAGCCAAAAGCTAGCATCAACCATCAGACATGCATGTGAACAAATTTTCTGATGATTCAGCCCCCAGGCTTTGAGTCTTCTAGATAAGGACCCAGACATTGTGGAGCAGAGACAAGCTGTCCCTGCTATGTCCTGTCTGAACTCCTGATGCAAGAATCACTGAGCACAATAAATGGTTGTTTTACATCTCTGTTAATGAATGCAAGTCTGTGTGCCCCACACACAGTGAGGCCAAACAATACCAAAACGTCAGAGTTTGGAGCAGAGAAAGGTTTATTACGTGGGCCATGCAAGGAGACTGGTGGCTCATCCTTAAAATCCCAAACTCCCTGAAAAGTTTCAGCAAAGCCCTTTTATAGGAAAGGTAAGGGATGGGCATGGTTAGTTGTTGCAAACTTTTCCAAGTCAGGTCCTTTGTTCTTGAGGTCAGGTCACAGTCAGGTCACGATGTTCCCATAAACCTCCAACAAAACAAACGTTATTCTCTGTTCTGACAAGAGAGGGCAAGGTCCCAAGGCTCAACTTTCACCCTCCAAGGTCCAGGTCCTGGCTAAGAGAAGGGGGTTATCCTGCCCCCCTGTGTGGGGGTGTGTATCCTGCCCAGGAGCAGGCCAGTTATCCTGCCCAGGAGTGTCCATCCTGCACCCAGTCTGGGCCCTCCCGCCAGTGCCCAGGCCTGGCTGAAAAGACAGGTCTCAGCTGGCGGCGCCCTCAGGGCCAGGTCCCCAGACCCTGCCCAGCCGTCGTCACTGAGGGAGCAAGGCGCCCAGGACCCAACCTGCCCTCAGGCTCCTCAGGCTCCTCAGGCCATCCAAACCAGGTTCCTCGGACCGCGACCCATGGAGACTGCCACCACCATTAGGTCGAGGAGGTAGGGATAGAGCAAAGGTTCACTGCTGCTTCAAGGCCTGGGCCCGGCCAGTGGGTAGCCAGGGCGAGGGCTCTGGAGCTCAATGGGACACAGCCCTTAGCCTGTCCCTGGGCCCCCCAGCTCACCCACCAGCCTGAGGCCCGAGGGTCTGGGGAGAAGCCCACAGTCCGCCTGATACTGCACTCTCTGCCACGAGGACCACTGCAAGACTGACCATTGCTGGAGCAGGACCTCTAACCGCCATGCTAATAGTCGTGCCCCAGTGGCTGCACGCCTGCCCCACTCCTATTACATAAGTTTTGGAGTAACTTGTCACACAATTTCATTAAAGTAAATAAAAAAATGCAGGTCATTGTTAACCTTCATAAAAGTAGTTTCAGGAGAATGGTGGAAGTGAAAGCCTGACTGAAGTAGACTCAAGAGAGAACAGAAGGCAAAGAATTGGACATATCCAGTATATAAAACATTTTCAAGAATTTTTTTCTCTAAAGGGAAGAAGTGAGGCACCAGCTGTAGTAAGATATGGTTTGGAGTTTTTTGCTTTCTTTTTTAAGTTAGGAGGAAATACAGCATCTTTATATGATACTGTAAGAGAAGTAAACATTGCTGATGCTGAAGAGAAAGGAGAGGAAAGAGAAGAATTAGGTCTAATACATGAGTAGAGGGGTTGGCTTAAGATAGATATACATACAGTTCATCCATTTTAATGGGAAGATAGGCAGAATATTAAGGGCACAGATACAGACAGGTAGGTGAATAAATGTGTTAGTAGGAGCTTGTGCAAGTTCTACTTGGATTGCTTCTCTTTTATTAATGAAATGGTAACTAAAGTCATCAGCTATAAATGAAGATGGGGAAAAAGCATTGGAGATTTAAGAACAAAAAAATGTATAAAATAGATATATAAGAGAGTGGAAGAGGGTAAAATAGTAGGATTACTAGATAACATTAAATGCCCACTGAGATTAGTAGTCATGAATTTAAAGTGAAAGTAGAACATAGTTGTGTGTTTTCCTCTACAGTGTAACAGCATAGGTGAAGACAGAGACAAAGTGAAAGTGACAAAGTCTCTCAGGTATGACCAGAGGAGTGAGTAGCTAAGATAAGATGGAGAATATAACCACTGGAGAAAAGGAGGTCAAGAAAAAGAGAGGCCAGGTTATTTGAAAGATCATCTATATGGATATTAAAATCACCAAGAGTTACGACAGTATTGCAGGAGAGGAGCTAAAAATCAAGGAATGAAGGAGCCTGACATAATCCTGCTAGATAACTGCTGCAAGGATAATTGATCAGTGGTACAGTCTGATGGCACAAGATTCAATGTTGGGTAACTTTAAGGAGGTGGACAGAGCAATAAAAAACAATGAGGATGTCTATCCCACAACACCAAATGCAAACCAGAATAACCCATCCCAGCAAAATACTTCTTTCATATGAAACTTAAATTTTATATTGCTTAATCTATGACTTATCAGCAGAGAGCTTTTAAAAACGTAAATAGATATGTTATAGATTGGAGGACTCCATATTGTAAAGATGTAAATTCCTCCCAAGTTGATCTATTCAATCTTATTTCAAAATTCTAAGAGTTTTTGTTTGTTTTTGTGGCACTTGACAAACTAATTCTAATTCATATGAACGTACAAATGACCAAAAACAGCCAAGACCCTCATGAAGATTAAGATGGGAAGACTTGCCTCACGTGTTAAACTTATTTAAAAACTATACTAATTATGATAGTGTTCAATCAGCACATAGACAGGCAATTGAACAATGGAACACAATACAAAGCCTTTCTAGAGTCACACATTTACAGACCTATGATATACACTGCTTTTTTTTTTCCAGGTATATTTTGGCCCATACACACCTCCCTCATTCTTTTTAACAAATGCATAGTATTTGTGGGGAAAAATAAGCCTAGATATATGTCTCAATCTTTATACTACTCCTCCATCCCTCAAAAAATCCAAACCATAAAAAAGAACAGGGAGAAAACATTTTTTAGATCTTGGATTAGGAAAGGCCTTTCTAGACAAAACTAAGTAAAATCACTGTATAAATTTTTTTAAATTCCAAATGCACAAAAATATCATTAAAAAGTTAAAATTTAAAACCCAAAAACTTAAGAAAGAAATTTGTAATATACTTGGCACCCAAGACCTAATTTCCTTAATGAATAATGAATGCCCACAAATTAATAAGAAAAAACCAACAACCAATCATAAAAGAAAAAAAAAAACTAAAAAAGTGATCACTATAAAACTCAGGCTACTAATTATTGGGTTGGCCAAAAAGTTCCTTTGGTTTTTAAGTAAAAATAAAAGACACATTTTTCACTTTTACTAAGAACTTTATTGAACAACATATTCACCCTTTTGTTCCACTACCTTCTGCCATTTTTCAGGCAACTTCATAATTCCATCTTCCCAAAACTTTTTACCTTTTTGAGCAAAGAACTGTTCCAGGTGCCTTTACAGTCTTCCAGGGAATTGAAATTTTTTCCATTAAGAGAATTTTGTAAAGACCGAAATAAATGGAAATCTGAAGGTGCAATGTCTGGTGAATATGGGAGATGAATCTGAACTTCCCAGCCAAGCTGTAACAGTTTTTGCCTGGTCATCAAAGAAACATACGGTCTTGTGTTATCCTGATGGAAGGTTATGCATTTTCTGTTGACTAATTCCAGACACTTTTTGCCGAGTGCTGCTTTCAGTTGGTCTAATTGGGAGCAGTACTTGCTGGAATTAATTGTTTGGTTTTCTGGAAGGAGCTCATAATAGAGGACTCCCTTCCAATCCCACCAAATACACAACATCACCTTCTCTGGATGAAGACCAGCCTTTGGTGTGGTTGGTGGTGGTTCATTTAGCTTGCCCCACCATCTCTTCCGTTCCACATTTTGTACAGTATCCACTTTTCATCACCTGTCACAATTTGTTTTAAAAACAGAACGTTTTCATTATGTTTAAGTAGGGAATCACATGGGGAAATACGGTCAAGAAGGTTTTTTTCGTTTAACTTACGTGGAACCCAAACATTAAAGCAATTAACATAACCAAGCTGGTGCAAATTATTTTCAACACTTGATTTGGATATTTTGAGTATGTCATCTATCTCCTGCGTGGTATGATGTTGATTGTTCTCAATGTCTCAATTTGATTGCTATCAACTCCAACTGGTCTACCCGACTGTGAAACATCGTCCAGCGAGAAATCTCCAGCATGAAACTTTACAAACCACTTCTGACATGTTCAATCAGTCACAGCACCTTCTCCATAAACTGCACAAACCTTTTTCTGTGTTTCAGTTGCGTTTTTACCTTTCTTAAAATAATAAAGCATGATATGCAAAAATGTTGCTTTTTTTCTTCCATCTTCAATATTAAAATGGCTACACAAAAATTCACCAATTTTGTTAAGCTTTTTTTTTAAATGCACGTAAATATGACAGCTGTCACAATACAATCTAACAAAATTGTTTCAAATGAAGTTAAAGACAACTAAGCGCTATACAGCCATCGTAGGGAAAAAACCGAACAAATCTTTTGGCCAACCCAATACTTTTGGAGGGAGGGAGAGAGGAGGTAAAAGGAGATGGGGAGCTCTGATTTGGAAGGGTCAAATGGAGAGGCTTCCAAAGTGATTATCAAAATTTTATTTCTTAATCTGCATGGTGATAAAGGTGTTCGCCTTATAACAATTTATAAACTTTATATTTATTTTGTGTGGGGCTTTTCACATCTGTATGGTATTTGCAATAAAAAGGCAAACAATAAAAACAATCTAATAGAAATGAGTAAAGAACACAAATGCGGAATTAAAAAAAATTACCTTTTGAATATAGAAAAATGCACTTATCCTTACTCATAAGTCATAAAAATGCAAATTAAACAAAAGTTATTTTTCATTCAGATTAGCAATAATGAAAAAATTAATAAAAAACAATATTGGCAAGAGTGTAGAACAAAAGGCATGCATTGTTTGTAGACCAATCCCTTTGTAGGATAATTAGCAATATCCATCAAAATTTTAAAAGCATTTATCTTTTGACCCAGAAATTCTACTCCTAGGAATAATCCTACAGATAGATACATTTGCATAAGTCTACACAGGTATGCTTACTGCAATATTATCTATAAAAAAACTTTATGGGAGTGAACTCTTCAACCAGACTGTCTTGGTGTAAATTCTGGCTTCAATACTTACAAGCCGTATGACCTTGGACAAGTCACTTAAACTATCTGTGCCTTGGTTTCCTTATCTGTAAAATGAAGATAATATTACTCTATAGGATTGTTATGACAATTAAGAGTTAATATACGTAAAGCTCTTAGAACTGTGCCTAGCATATAAAGAACTATATCAGTATTGGCTATTAACATTAATATTAATGTTAATAGCCAATACTGAATGTCAACTAGTAGAAAGCTGGTTAAATAACTTACATCATATCCAAAAATGTTTACACTAAACATCTTCCTTGCTACACACAAAAGATATAGTTAAGTTCACAAAGCCATAAACAGTCATTAACAATTTTTGACTTTTTTGCTTAAAAATATTCTAACATTATATAAATATTTGTTTTAAATATACCTTAATTTAGAAATTAAGTGCAAATTGAACTTTCCCTGCTTTGTAGAATACTAACCAATAAAATACATTATCAGTATGCAAAATGTGAAAGTCTGTGTGTGTGTGTGTGTGTATGTGTATATAGATATTCAATAAGTTAGCTGAATGTGCAGCTCAATGTAGCATTAGAATACAAATAAATAAAATCGCTTAAGGGTTTAAATTTATCTTTTCCCCACAATTTGTATCCTTAAATCTACCTTTCTGTAAAGACAACAAGTCAATCTTTTGAGATCCTCAGTTGGCACTACAATTTTGAATCATTTACTAAAGAACAATAGTGCTATATTTAGGGATACTATGGCATACAAACATAAAAGATCTAATACCAAGACCTAATACTAATTAAAGAATCTCATACTATCATTGGAAAAAGAGTAATATACATGAAATCAAGTAACAGAAAGTACCCATGTAATTCTAAGCTGTATTCATTTATCCAACACATTATCTTAATGTGTGCTGTTTGTCAGACACTATGGCTCTAGCTGTGTAGGTGAAAAAGTCTCTGTTCTCATGGAGCATACATTTTCACTGAAAAGAGACAATATAAACAAATGGACAACTAAATACCTGATACGATTTCAGGTAGTTAGAAGTGCTATGATGTGGTAAATTATACAACAAAGACTGCAAGTGCTTTCAGAATTCACAATAGAGAAGATCAAAGAAATCTACCTGTAAGAACGAATGGCTTAGTACAGTGCACAGTACACACTACTAACTCCCTAGAATGATAATGATTATGAGAAGCTGTAAAGGTGAAGGCTAGATTTGCTGTAGAGATGCTCTCAAGGCATTAGAAACAAGATTGGAGGCAAGTATGAGCATGCAAAATTTGTGAGACACAAAAGAAACTGGTCTGATTAGAGCAGAAGACGAAGAAACGAGACTTGCAAGGTAGGACGTGTCAAATAATGGGAACCTTTAATATTTAGGGGAAAAAAAAACCTTTAAGAAGTATTTCCTATGGGCAGTTACTTCCCTGTATCTGGGATCCAACTCAAAGCAAAAGTAAAGAAGAGACTTATCTGGTTTGAAATAGGCAACCAGAAGGCTTTCAGTAGGCTTTTGGAAGCAGTGTTTTATGTAGGGCATTTGACAAGTTATATTTATTGGATAAAAAAGAAGAGATTAAGATTGTAAATTTTACACATAGATCAATGAAACAGAATAAAGAGCCTTGAAATAAGCCCACAAATATATGGTCAAATAATTTATGACAAATGAGCCAAGAATATATGATGGGAAAAAGACAGTCTCCTCAATAAATGGTGTTGGGAAAACTGGACAGAATGAAACTGGATCACTATCTTACACCATACACAAAAATTAACTCCAAATGGTTAAAAGACTTGAATGTAAGACTTAAAACTGCAAGACTTCTAGAATAAAACATAAGTGACATTGGTCTTGGTAATGATTTTGGGGGTATGGCAAGAAAAGCAAAAATAAACAAGTAGGACTATATCAAACTATAAAGCCTCTGCACAGCAAAGGAAACTATTAAGAAAATGAAAAGGCAACCTATGAATGTGAGAAAATATTTGCAAATCATATATATGATAGGAGGTTACTACCCAAAATGCATAAAGAACTCATACAACTCAATACCAAAAAGCAATCTTATTTAAAAATGAAAAGATCTAAACAGACATTGTTGCAAAGAAGACATACAGATGGCCAACAGTTATGTGAAAAGGTACTCAACACCATCAAGTAAATGCAAATCAAAACCACAATGAGATATCACCTCACACCTGTTAGAACGGCAATTATCAAAAAGGTAAGA